TTACTTCTTAGAACTGCAAAAAAAAGAATTTCAGCAGCGAATGGAATAATTGATTGTATTTTCAGCTATAATTGGCGGTTTTGTGGTTGGTATACTGGCGGCGATTCTTTTGGTAATGTTTCTGGTGTACCGAATGCGGAAGAAGGACGAGGGTAGTTACGCACTGGATGAACCCAAACAACCACCTCACTATTCGTATGCATATCAGAAGGCACCAACTAAGGAGTTTTATGCATAGCCTTCAAATATTTTATACAAATCACTTTTGTGCTGTGCTGTTGCGGTAGTTTCGTTTGTTTGTTGTGTATAATTGAATGAATGCAACAATTGCGATATCTTCTTGAAGAGTTATCCCGTGTCACTAACATCTTCACATTGGAATCGTTTGTTCATCGATGAAAAGTTATCACTTCAGTTCTTTACTTGATTGTTATTTCTATTGTAATTGAATAATGATCGATATTAACGCACTGATATTTGTTTGTATTTGTTATGTAAATAAAATAACTAGATTTATTGGCTTATCAATGGCGATGCGAAGCAATCATTTTGGGTCATCGATTGTATTGTTTCTGTTATTAGCACTTCAAAACATTTCAAGTGTGGTTTTAAGCAAGCATATTTTGCCGTATTCAATCATCTGAAGTGATTCGTATAGAGTGATCGCAATAGTTTCAAAGGAGAGTTGATTCTTTGAAGGGTTTTTCGTGTCTATCTGGAGAGAATTCCTCGAGGCTGATCTAAATTTGCACCACAAGAATTGTTGCCTATAAAAATATGTGACCCTCAGTGAGTGTTTTATATTTTTAAGTCGATAAATGGAGGTAATAAGGAATTTCAAAATGAATTTTATCAGACCATTTGAATCTTCCGAGATGTCAGTCACTTTCACATAACGCGAAATCGGATGTTCATCATTGAAATTCTTTTTTCATAAACGATATTGCCTTTATTTATCAACTAATGTCTATGAATCGATACAAGTGTTCCATTTGGTTTTTTCAGTGTGTTGTTGAGTTGTTTTGCAGTAACGATTTTTGAGTTTACTCAAGTTACGAAGACTTTACCGCCGTGTTGACGGGGATAACCTAAGTGTCAGAAATATTTCCGATTCCTTAGGGATATTTAGTGTTGTGATATTCCAAGATTTACACCAGAAATGCACTCATATTGATTCTTCGTAAATGAGTGTAGATCAATTGTTTGAATTGATCGTCACTAATGATTCGTGTATTTCACAAATATTTTCGTTTACTTATCCTTTAAGTAGATCAAACGTTAATCCGGCATCTTGAAACTGTGGATGGATGTGCATAACTCGATAGCAAGAGAATAACCGCGTATTATGCAGACCTTAGCGACTGCTTATCAAATTTGTATCAATTTTCAAATGTGATCCAATCTTTTATTTTTGTTTTTTGGTATAAACATTGTTGTGTTTCGATAAAATGGAGTATTTTTTTCGAAAATAAAACCGTCAGTGTTTCTTTTTTTCGGATTTCATTCAACGCATTTTACAGTTTTCAGTGATGTCGATAATATTGAGTGTAATGTAATAATTTTATTGCATTCTTGTTGTTATATTTGACTATTTTGTGCAACACTTCATTCGAATCAATTTTTTGATTATCTTTTTTTGTTAATGAATTATGAACAATTGAACTTTTTTGTTGATTGATTCAATTCGTTCTCTCCATTCGCGACGCGCAAAAATTTTCACCTTCTAAGCTCAAATGATACTTTTGTTTCAATCGAAATCATGCGCGAAGAGAGGAATCCATTTCGTAGG